CTCTCTCTCTCTCTCTCTCTCTCTCTCTCTCTCTCTCTCTCTCTCTCGCTCTCTGTCCCTCTTGTGCGCGTGCGTGATAATGTGATAATGTGTAATAATCCCGGCTGTCAGGCGGAATTAATAAATATTAAACGAGCGGAATCTAGCCGAGAGCGCGACGCGAAGGCGCTCCCGCTGAGAGACAACAGATGCAAAGTGCGAGGACGTGGAGATCTACTACGAGAAGGCCCGAGTGCGTCGAAAGCGCTACACAGTGTCGGAGGCCGTATTGTTTCAACTAGTTCCCGCAATTATCACGGCGTGTATACAGAACTGGATAGGACAGGAGAGAGAGAAACCGGTTCCGCCGCGGTCGCTCGACCGCCGGCAACCCGTTTGTTCATATTTCCATCTCGAAAACTCGTACTATCGGCGCCGTTCCGAGCGGCGCTCACGAAAAATCCTACGCACAGCGCGTAAAACGCAGTGCGCGCTTAAACCGGATCACCGGGACGGAGGAGGGGGATTGCGCAACGAGCACTCGCCGATCTGCTGGCGCAAAAATCGCCTCGCAACATTTTCGCGCAAGCGTGTCGCATTGGAACAACTTTGTTAACACCCGAATGAAACGTCACGGCCGAGCGTGCACTTAGCTGCAAAGTGGTTTAGACACAATGATGTTGGGATCTCGCCAAACCGTCAAAATTGAGAGTCATTACCGACAAGCTTTCGCACTAATTACATTGTCAATTATTATTCTTATTTTATTCTTTATTTTTGTTATAATTATTTATTATCACTAATTGTACTATTGATGGTATTATTACTTACATTGTTATTGCATAAGCCTATTGGTAGTGACTCTCAATTTTGACAGTTTAATGAGCTTTCAAGTTCATTGTATCGAAAACGTTTTGCAATCAACTGTACACGCAGAGGCAGATATATACAGGGTGTCTGACGCGAAATGTCCTATACTTCGTGTGTATAAGGTCATACTGAGCACAAAACTCCTCTACTATTTTGCAAATAACCATGTGGATTTTTGAGTTATTGATTAAAGAAGATTGACGGATGATCGCGCACGTTAATGTGCATCAGTGTTCTATAATTAATAATTAAAAATCCACGTGTAAAAATAGTAGAAGACTTTTCTGTTCAGTTTGATTTAATGTATAAACACACGTCATCAGCGGCTGTCGCTGTGACTGTTTATCTGCTATGTCGTGCGTGATAATTCATCAAACTTCTTTAATTGATATCTCGGAGTGCTTATTGCTTACGTGCTTATTTGCAAAATGAGAAACTTTGTGTTCAGCATTTGATCTAATCTATACGACACGAGGTACGGGTCACACTCAGCGTCAGACACTCTGTATATGTATTACAACGACGATAAGGCGCGTTTCTCACTTATCTCTAATTTGCCGGCGAAAAAAATCATTCTCATTTCCGCGGACCACGGACGTGCCTTTGCCGAGCGTCGACGTCTCTTCCTGAGATTTGCGGGCTATCAATAACGCGTAGGTATATTTCGAGCCGCACGCGATAACGGCTGTGGAACTGGGTGACTTGTACGCTCACATCAGCTGACGGCCGAGATGCTCGTTGCGCGCGCGCGCACGTTGACGTTCGCACACACGTGCGCTCGCCTACCGCTTCCTCGCTAATGAGAACCAACGCTGGTGCAGACAGCTCGCCGCTGCGAGCGAAACACCGATTCCAAGCGAGAACAAGTTGTTCTCCTCGTAATTTTGTCGAATGCGCCGAGGAAGTAGTCGGTCCTTCGACTGAGACAAGGAGAGTTGCAATTAACGATCGTTTCGTACCTTTGCCTCGTGACAATCGCATGTCCGTTTGCAAGGCTGGTTCCTACGCGGCTGTCTCGAAGATGATTGCAGAGGAGAGGAGTGACGTTTATCGACACATCCTCGGATATATCGTGTTGTTACTTTGAAATCTTCATTAGTTTCATCTTCTTCAGTTGCATGTTTAGGTGGAAGAGAGCGCACAGCGACGATAAGGAATTAGACATTGACCGATTTGATATGTTTTAACCTGAAATGCAGAAAGAAAAAGAATTTTATTAGAGTTGAACATTGGAAAAGTTTATTAAAACAAAAAAAATCTGAAAAAATATAACAAAAAATAATAACAAAAAAATTCTGAAAAAATATTTATTAGATATGTATTAATAACAATTTACTTAGTCTAAATTCTTTTGTTTAAATAAATTAAATAATTGCTTTTGTAAAAGACAACAGTGTTTTAGGAAAACATATATTTGCTCATTTGAGAGAAATCTTTCCTCAATGAAAAGATTAGTGTAACATAAATATTTATTGTTTTTTTAGATACTTTTTGTCTCAGTATACTTATATGGATCTGTCTGATGCAAGTGAAAGCAATAATAACGATGGACAGAGAGCAGTTTTCACAATGTGTTTGATGAAGTTTTAAAAAAACGACATTAATTTTTCCCGCCTGACATTTCTACGTGCTCGTATACGATGATCTCGAGACGAAAGTGTACGCGATTTGTGTCCGAGACGCAGTTGGGAAGTTCGGGGAAATGAAAAACGATCGGTGGAACATGGGGAGAAGTCGAAGGAAAGCTGCAGGGCACGTCTCGAATGACACATCATTTGGATGAAGGAGTCGCTTGCACAGAAACGAGGAATTTTTCATCATTCGAAGCGATGCAGATGGAGATGGAGAATCGCTGGGTCTATGTTTCGGTATCGCCGCAGTCGGCACCGCTTTCGGACCGTCGTATTTGCAAGAAAATGCCACGATAACAATGCTATTTTCTTGCATGTCGTCACATCGCTTTCTTGATTCTGTTCCATCGCTCGTACGGTTTCCGCGTGTTTACCTCGAGACATTGCAACGAGGTCGCTTTTTAATGAGTCGACAGCGGCGATAGTCGGAGTTGACTAAACCCGGCTTAACGACTCGCTGTATCTCAATTACCATTCGTATATCTGCATTTTTCATCGTGTCTCAATGCGAAGAATAATGCCAACAAAGAGAGAGAGAGAGAGAGAGAGAGGGAGGGAGAGAGAGGAGAGAGAGAGAGAGCGAGAGAGAGAGCGAGAGAGAGAGAGAGGGGGGGGGTCTTTTCTTCCCCAACAATCGATCGACCACGTCAACTCCTCTCGTTCATGTCTTTTACCCTCGACCGCGACTCATCGGGCCTGACGAAAACTTGCTTTCGAGGGTCCGAACCGCAGGTAAACCTCCTCGACTAGGCGCGTTCATGCACGCGCGCGACACGATCGTGCACGCACGAATCTGCACGTGGCCTGTGTGCGAACGTTTATCGTCCGTATGCAAGTTCGTTTACCCCGATGTAATAATCGCCATCCCTTATCTCGCGGTTTCCTGCGGTGTTCTCGCTTTCGCGTCCCGATCGCGGCCGGCTGCATCGACCGAGACTTCTCACTCCTCCGTCTCCGTGCAGCATTTTAGATTGATATTTTTCAGCGCGCTGTTGGCACAACAACACGAAGGAGAGATCAGGGGACTGGAGATTTTTCTAAAAGAAAGAAAGGAAAGATTAGAAATGTGTCTTGATCTCATTATTACATTTATATTATTTATATATTAGTAGAAAATAGGACGAATTCTATACGGAGCAAATGTATTATAGCTTTTTTGTTTTTATATAAATTCTCTTCAAAGTTATTATGTGTTTTTAGTAGTGCAGGAGACTGTTAGTAAAGTCTATCTTGCCAAGGAACATAAAGTAAAAGTACCAATTGCCAATTTTTTGTTGTTGTGTTGGTACACTTGTCCCTGACGTATCTTGACATTGGCAGCCATATTGGATGCTTACTTTATTGTTGGCTGTCGAAAGGGTTACAAGTGTTTCGGTATGCTCGGCGATTTTTAACTTATGGAAAATATGGAACAAAGAATTTGCATTAAATTTTGCTTTAAGAATGGAATAAAGTGTAGCATCGCATTGGAAATGTTGAATGTTGCTTTTGGCGAATCTTCTATGAATAAAACAAGCGTTATAAGTGGTACAAACGTTTCCAAGAGGGCCATAAAGACGTAGAAGATGACGAGCGCTCTGGACGCCCCAGCACATCAACAACCGATGACAACGTTGAAAAAGTGAAGAAAATGATTATGGACAATCGTCGAATCACTATCAGAGAGGTTGCTGATGATGTTGGCATATCATTTGATTCATGCCAAGCAATTTTTTCGGATGTTTTGGACATGAAACGTGTGGCAGCAAAATTTGTTCCGAAATTGTTGAATTTCGACCAAAAGCAGTGCTGAATGAACATTGCTCAGGAGTTGCTGAATGAAGTCAACGACGATGTAGAACTGCTCAAACGGGGCATAACTGGTGATGAAACATGGGTGTATGGATATGACGTCGAAACTAAGGCCCAATCGTCCCAATGGAAGCTTCCTGAAGAGCTAAAATCGAAAAAAGCTCGTCAAGTTCGATCGAATGTGAAGGCTCTGCTCACTATGTTCTTCGATTTCAACGGCGTAGTGTACCATGAGTTCTTGCCACCAGGTCATACGGTCAATAAGGAGTACTATCTGAAACTTCTACGTCGTTTGTGTGAAGCAATCCGAAGAAAACGCCTGGATTTGTGGCGAAACAATTCATGGTAATTGCACCACGATAATGTACCTGCTCACACTTCACTGCTTGTTCGTGAATTTTTGGCCAAAAACAACACCGTTATGATGCCTCAGTCTCTCCGTATTCGCTCGGATATGGTCCCCTGTGACTTCTTCCTATTCCCGAAGATGAAAAGAATCATGAAAGAACGACGTTTTGTCAACATTGAAGAGATAAAGACAGAATCGCTGAAAGAGCTAAACGCCATACCGAAAATTGCGTTCCAGAAGTGCTTCAAAGATTGGAAAAAACACTGGCACAAATGTATTATATCTGATGGGGAGTACTTTGAAGATGACAAAATTAATATCGATGAATAAATAAAGATTTTTTGAGAAAAATTCCGCGTATTTTTTTATCAAACCTCGTACATGCATTGAAAATATATATATTTTATGCTGCAAGTGTAAATATTCATATTTAAAGACTGAAAAAATAAAAATGTCCAGGATTACGTGCGCATCCGTGAAATGGTTCCTTTAATAAATTTCGCTAGAAACAAATCTTTGGCAAATCTTTTTGATAGCATATTTCTCAGTTTCTAAAACATAAATAGTACATATAAACGCAAAGTATCGATCTATTCCTCAGTTACAAAATTCTATAGCAATTTCTACTATAACATTTTCTTTGTATATAGAAAATCGACTGATACTGTTTTCCCGTTTTTTCGAATATTTTCTCGCTCGATCTTTGATACTCGGATAGTGTGCTTCTGCAGCTTGTTCTAAGTATCTATCAAAGTCCTATTCTTTCTCATGTTTCTTTCTCTATCTCATTACCACATCCGAATATTGTTTATTTGATTACTTCGCCTTGTACCCATTAATTTTAACGTAACGCTCGGTTGTTGATATTCTTACTGCTCTTTCGCGTAATCCTCGCTGCCAGATATATCTATCCGCGCGTCTTTGTTCATCTTGACGGGATTCACCCCACGATAATAATAAATCGATCCCTCTTTCTCCCTCTGTTTACTGGGACTCCCCTATTACGTGTAACACCATGAACCATGATCCATGCGTCCAAACTTGGAACGCATCTTCAGCCGTTGAACCCTCCGCTTCGGAGTCCATGTTTGCGTAATAGATGGGCAATCTGCCCGCGTGGGCCGCTCTATTTTCACTCTGGCAAAGGCGTGTTATATAGAAAAATTTGTATGCCGTGTCGGCGGTTGGGCCAACCGGTTTGACGAATTATTCTTAGCCGAGATAAGGATCTTTCGTACGATCGATCAGCGTCAGCCGTGCCACTCGTACGGGCATTTAGCCGGGGATTTACGAAATATCGTGACGACGGCGACGAGAGCCGTGTTGCCATGACGGCAAATCTGCTCGTCGTAAATTGTGACGAGATTGCATCGGGCCAGGAAGCGCGGAGGAAACTCTTTCGCGTTATTTTAGGGGACAAGCGAGTTATCGATGAAATGTACACGAGCGGAAGAGCGCGAACTACAAATTAAAGACATGATAAATTGATGAATATCAAGCCGCGTGATGATGTACCGCGTGAAAGATAACGAAAATTAAATAGATCGCGTTTCGTTCGTGAAAAGTACGAACTGCAGGACGAAAGTCTCGCGTGCGCTTTCCTGTCCCTCTCGTTCCAGCTCAAGTTTTCTTATTTCAGGTTCGTAATCGGGAGATTGCATCAGGATCAGGAAGTACGCGAATGAACCGAAATATATAATGTATGCGCATCTCTTGGCGCCGAGTTATCGCGAGGACGTTTCTTCCGGGCGTCTTTTTCCGTCAAAAAAGTTAATCCTTTCGAAATTTAGATTCGCTCACAGCTCCAAAGAAGAGGCAAAAGTGGATCTACGGGATTTCACGGGTTTTTGAACGAAAGAAAGAAAGAAAGAAGACGGAGCCGAACGCAGAATAGGTGAAGCAGGAAGCTTCTGTACGCCGCGGCGACTTGATATGAGAGGGCGGATTTAATTCGGTTTTCGGCAGCTACCTGTGTTACTCGCGGGGAGAAGAAGGTGCAGAACAAAGAAGCGTTTCTTGTAGGAGTATCTCGACGATGAGGCAGGAGACCGGCGGCGGGGGCGAGAGGAGGCGGGCAGGAGCAGAGGGGAAGAGGGAGAAAACAGGAAAGATCGCCTGGACGAAGATAGCGTGGTACAAAGACGTCTCTTTTGCTACCCTGCTGAGCGCACGATATCGTCATCTCTCTTCCTCACCCGTTTGGCCGACCCGCTATTTTCGCCTACATCAAGAGTGAGTGGAAACGTGGAAGAAGGAGAGATGGGAGGAGCGAGAGCGAGAGCGAGAGCGAGAGAATGTGTGTGTGTATATGTGTGTGTTTGTGGAGGACCTTACGGAAGATAGAACCAAGAGCAGGACCGGATTCTCGATCCTAGAACGCGGGGGTTCTCTATCGATACCGTATCGCCGGTGACATGCAAAACTGATCTGCATCGTCACTCTTAGATACACTGAAAACAAACACTTGAAAGTTTATTTGCGGGATATAAAGTTCGTCTCTGCGAAATAAAGTTCATTTCTGTGAAATAAAATTTATCGCTTTGAATAAACTTTATATCCCACAAGTAAATTTGCAAGTTTCTCACATTCTTCTCAGTGCAATAACCGTAAATTGCGGGAGGACTCGAAGGAATATGTCGTCAATTAAGATGCTTTACAAAGACGTTTCATCTGTTCTTTGACGACGAGCACGAATTATATCACATATTATGTTAATTTTAGCGCGTCAAGCTAATTTTGTAGATCGCTAAAACCGATGAGTGTATGAAAAATTCACGAGCGCGTTTTAGAATATCTATTTCTTCGTTCCATTGAAATTCGGAGCTGCTTTCCTCGCGCCTCTTTGTGTAAAACTGCCAGGGGTGGTGCCCCTGCAACGTCGGAACAGCTGATTCGATGTTCTGGGAAGATGATTCGGGATACGGAATGATGAAATCGACAGACATTTCCTTCTGTAGAAGAAATCGGTCAAGAGAGATATATTTAATATAGAAAGTACTGGAGATGTCACGTGAAGAATTTTTATTTCCAAAGTTCGAGTCAAGATAGACGGTAAACTTTGAAATTACCGCGAAGCAAAAACTACGTAAAATAAATATTAGCTAAATTTGTTTTGCAAGAATACTAATTGTATTATCGAAGAATATTCTTTATTTTAAAATTACGAAAAGATAATTGACATGATTAGAATATTCTAGATGATCCAGATAAGAACAAAAAAAAAAAAATGATCCTTGAGAGAAACCTCCCATCCACTCACCCAAAATATACATGTTACGTCTTTTATATATTTTAATACTACGTATTTACAAGTAATTATAATATGAACAGTTATACCTATTTTTAATAAAGACGTGTGCATTTTCTTTGTCCAGGGCTTGAACATTCATGGGTCCGGCTCTGATTCAGAGAGCAGGAGAGAGAAAGAAGGAGAGAAAAGGAGGAGCAGAGAGAGAGAGAGAGAGAGAGAGAGAGAGAGAGAGAGAGAGAGCCAGGAGA